CATTTGTTCATATTCCCAAGCAAAACAATCTTTATACTCCTTTAGCAAAGCGATTAATTTATTACTAACCTCTTGATCGAGCATCTGTCTGATGAATGTTGGACGATCTTCTCCTTCATCGAGCATCTGCCTGATGAATGTTGGACGATCTTCTCCTTCATTGCCAATATTTACTTTAATCAGAGGGTCTTGTGCTTGAGCGTATCCAGGTTTGATGATCCGCATCACTTCGTCATCCAGTTCACTTGTAAGTACTTCTTCTTCTAAATAGTCCACCTTGTTGACTTCTCGGCCAATACTTTGTTCTAACTCGAATACTGTTAATTTGTCTTTCAGCGCTTTTAGGGTTGTCTCTTCTTTTGCCTTGTCATTGCATTCCTTATTGAAAGTCATTAATTTGGCGCTGAAGGCCTAAATATCGGCCGTTTGCTCTTGTTGCTTAGAACTCATTCAAGACTCCTTAATTATTCTTTTGCCAATTACTAGCTCTTCTAGGGCCACTATATTTGGTCTCATCTGTCTGAACATTTCAATGAGTGCGTCCACTGAAAATGGCTCTTCGCTTTGCTCGACAACTTGAGTTTCTTCCCCATCTTGTACTACCCTGACAGGTCCATAGTTTCCTTCGTACATGAACTTTTCCACTGAGTTTGCTTCTACGACAAAAGGCCTATGATCGGCTTGTACCACCTTTGCTTCGCCCTTGTTATTCCAAAAAATCAGGCATTGATGGAGCGATGAGGGTATACAGCGACTTCCATGTATCCAATCTCTTCCTAGTAACACATTGTAACTAGTAGGACTATCTATTACAAAGAAGACTGTGGTCCTAGTAGTTGTCCCTACAGTTATGTCCAACGGCATAACTCCCTTAGCTGAAGTTGCTCCTCCATTAAAACTCGTAAGGATGACTTCTGTTGGAATCGTGTCACCCTCTGTCTTTGCAAATTTCCTCATCATCCTAGATGGAATGGTGTTTATGGCTGCTCCATTGTCGACAAGCACTTTTGCCACAGGGATGCCGTTAACTATAGCTTTAACGTATAATGGCCTCAAGTGTTTAGTCAATTTCATGGCTGGCTGTTTAAAAAAACCTTTTCGACAGCCTCTATTTCTACTTTCTGCTTGTTTTCTGTCGAATTATCCCCCTGTGATAAGTCGACGTGCAGCATATCGCACTGAGCCTCTGTCTCCTGAATTTCCTCCTTACTATTTTCTAATGCTTCCTCATCAGTTACCCAACCTGTGGGAGGGGGCATTATTCTTGGAGGTGATCTATACTTTTTAGAGTGAGGCACTCTCTTCTTCCTTTTGGGCGTCCCGTACAGTACGTAGAAATCGAAAGGATGTCCAGATGGTTCTCCCAACAAATCTACTTCGCAAACTCCCTCTCGATGTAGTTGCTTCAATAGAGTATTGTGCGATACTCCTCTCCTTCTTCTTTCTGCTTCTAGGTCGATTTCTTCTTCGATATCTGTCATCCCATCGTCTTCTTCATCATTGTAGGTCTCTCTAGAAGTCTGGCATTCTTTACATTCCAGCACGCAAGCCTCTCCTTCGTTGTCCTCCCTTTCTTCTTCTTTTTTTTCTTTATTCTTGAATTCATTGGCCAGTAAGTAATTATTAGCCACTACAGGAGGTAACGTACCGAACTGGATAGTAAGGGGCTGATCTAGTTCTTCTCCATCCCTTCTGTCTCGCTCAAACTTTGATCTCCCAAAGAAGTTTCTGGCAGTTCTTTCATTGATTCATCTGTACCGGTCTCTTCACTATCTTTGAGAACATTTTGATTGGCTACCTTGAGTAGTTTAGGCGCTTTAGGATGTGGCACTCCCTGTTGCTGCCTCATCATTCGTCCATAGTTTCGTTGGAAAATGTCTTTGTTGGGTTCTAGTCATTTCATCGAAGGGTATTGGCCTTCCTGCATTATACTGGAACGAATGCCATACATTTGGCTGGCAAGGTTGCAGCCTGAATGATCTCCCATTATCTATTGGCCTGAACCGTCTCTCAAAAGGCGGTCCTCTATAGAATGATGTACCTCGCCCTCTACCAGGCTGAGTGTTTGGGAAGAAAGTAGGGCAATGGGGATGCTGTCATATCCCTGGTTTTTCCATGTTCCCGCTCACTTCTCTTTTACATCTTGCACACAGGACGTCTTCGTCCTTTTTTGGCTCTTTCCCCTTAATTCGTTCAAAGACACTGGGATGTGGTCCAGGGTCCTCTTCTCCATCATCTATGACCAACTTGAATTTTGGCAACTTGTTTTTGAAACCAGACGTCACCATGTTCACTCCAAGTGGCTGTGGAAAAGGATTTTCATCCACTGCCATCTTCTTCTTATCATCGAACGTAATTCGTCCTGATTCAATGGCATCCTGCAATACATGGCAAAAAATCAAGCAATTATTAGTCAAATGTGACCATGCATTATGCCACTTACAATATTTTTTTACCCTTAATTTGTTCAGGGCTTGACAATTTATGCTTATCGCTTAACTTTATCTGCTTATCCCTATATAATTTATCAAATATAAGGTCAGCTTTGGTTACATCAAACGAGAACGTTCTAACTTTTATGTTTCCATCTTTCATGGACTCATCTTTGCCCGATGGTCTAGGCTTAACCATTTAGGACAAGTACGACCAAACACATTTCGGCTTGATCGTATGACTCGTCGCTGATGGTATGAACGTCAAAATTTGGGTCTTTGTAATAAGTCCCTTTACTAGAATTCTTCATCTGCTCTTCCTCTCTTATCAGTCATTCATACCTAATCACATTCACACTCAACTGGAAGAGGTCAGAAAATTCCTTGTTCTGGAATTTCTTTTTTAAATCAAAGCTCAAACAACCCTGGGTGATTTTGACAAATTCTTTTTTGGGCAAAGGTACAAAACACTTGCTTCTTGTTGTCTTGAACCTTTGGAGAAAACTTTCTGCCCATTCGTTTGGGATTTGACGTAGATTCGCCAAATCAGCCAAAGTGACTTCAAATTCAGTTTTATAAAATTGAGCATGGAATAATTGTTCCAATTGTTTCCATGTTTGAACAGAGTTCGCTGGCAAGTTGATGAACCAGGAGAAAGCTACTCCTGTTAATGAACTAGGGAAAAACCTCATTTTATGGTAATCAGTTACATCACCACTTTGCAATGTGAATCACCCTATGTGTTCTAGAGTAGACACCTCTCCTAAACCGGTAAACAGTGAGAATTCTGGCACTTTATATCCTCTAGGCCATGGATATGCTTGGTCTACCCAATTAGGATATGACTTTGTGTAAGTCGGCCTAATGACAAGACGTACCCCAAAAGCCATCTGATCCTGTACGATTTCCATAATCTGATTCCTCAACATGACGTTGGGGTCATATGGAATTCCTACAAGTTGGTTAACCGGTTGATTTGTATGAGGCCTGACGTTTGGTCCTTGATTGGCAACAAAGTTACCATGATTAGGGCCATTACCATTAGCCTGAACATCTATTCCCTCATTAACACGTGAGGTATTCTGTCCATTGTTTAGGACATTATCTCTTACATTTGGATTACCTCCCAAGTTAGGCGTACCACTACCATTGTTCTGATTTGGCACTGCACCACCCCCTTAGTTTGAAGTAGAGGGACCAGAAAGTGGTTCTATCCCTTGATTCGGATTTAGGACTGAGGGATTATGTCCCACAATTGTCCTAGTTTGAAAGTGATTTGCAAGAGGCATAACCGGTTGACATATTTGGCCTACTAACTTATTTATTGTCTCGTTCAAAGTGTTTAGTTGTTTGGCCATATTGTCATAATGTGCATTCCCATTTTGGGTAAATCTTTCCATATTATAAATACTTCGAAGATTTACCTGTTCAAGGACATCTTGTGTGAGTTCTCCAAGTAGTGCACGCATAGTTAGAGGACTCAACTCTGTCATTGGTTCGTAACGACTGTTATTGCTCTGATTCTATCCATCTGTTCGTGGAGAGGCATGCTGCTCCTTATATCGCTCGATCACAAACTGGACTCCTCCCTGACTTGCTGCTTCCTTATCGGATCTTTGAGACATATTGTTTCACCTTTTGTATTTTCAACACCAAACACCACTCTCCCACTTGGCATGCCAAATTGTTTCGCGCGAGTTAGTCGCTAACAATTAAAAAGGGATCAGACAATTGTGTAAGGGACAAACCTCTTGAGACAAAGTCCCAAAAAGGGGTGTTCTTTATTAGCAATGTCTTTACAATCAGAAAGTAAAAACAAAATGCCTCCAAAGGGCGTAAGCACACAAGTTACTGAAAGAAGTGTTTAAATCTAAACTAAGAAATTTAAAATTACATGTTCTCTGTTCGAGAGTTTTTTATTCGGGATCCTTTGCTCTATGTCTTTTCTTCCTTTTATACTCCCTGGATGATTTCCTTGTGATCAAACGCCTAAAAACTGCTTGATCGTCCTATAACTGCCCACTTTCCTCGTAATGGCCAACTTGTCATGGAACTACCTTTTTTAACTGCTGTCATTACTCTTTGTCGTTCAACCATTTTCAATTCCTTGAATCGTGGAACGTGATAGGGCTGCTTAATAACTACTTTGATAATTGCGCTTCTAGATAACCATAACACATCATGTTTGCTAAGACCTTGGGCGACTCGAAGGTTTGGGCGAGAATAGAGTAGCAGCTCTGGACGACTGCATGGCATTCCATTCGCTCAGATCCTGGGCAACTTGCAAGTTTGGGCGATGGTGTTACCGCGTTCGCTGGCCTCCCTATTTGGGCCTTCATCCTGAATTGTCTAATTGGGCTTCATTCTTTGGGCTGTCTGATTTGGGGATCCTCCAATTGGGTTTCATTCCTTGGGCCATTCGATTTGGGCTGAATTTTTATGTGTCAACAATAGTATATAAACCCATCCTGCATGATGTTCTTTCCTCTTAAAGTAGTTATAAAATTAATTATTGCAATGAAAGTTGGTGTGTTGTTAACTTGTTATTTCTTTGTTTTTCTGATATAGTTTGTGGGGTTGTCGCCAGAAACTTGAATGATGAAGAAAAGCTTGTGACAAGTGGCAAAGTAGGTGGCAGTGCCGGACCTGATGAGAGGCCCAAGAGGCCTCCACCTTAGGCCCAGGTTTTTAGGGGGCCCAAAATTTTCCCCTTTCATTTTTTTTTATTCTTATTTTTAATAGAGATGGGAGACCAGACCTGGAGACCACTACTTACCCTACAAAATTCAAAAATCAAAACCCTTCTAAAAGAGGAAAGTGCAAAGGCGGGGGCAACCGGGCGGCGGCTACAGGCATGAGGCACGGCTCTCTTCTCGCCAATGATTTCAGAAAATCAACAACCCTTAACCTGTTAACCCTTTCTACCGGCAGTTACTTGTAATTATTTAATTTATTTCACATTGTGATTTGCGACTTTGCCTGTGCGGCTGTGCCTGCGCTTGCGCTTGCTGAAACAACTCTTTTTTATTTTCTCATCTTCATCAATTCATATGAGTAATGCTAATATGCTATGCATTAAGAGAAAATGAAGCTTATAAGTAAATTATAAGCTTAGCCAAACATGCTCTTTTGTTTCAACTGAACCTTTAGTTTTTGCTTTCGCGTTCCTTTCCTCGTAGGCTACTAGGCTGTGATAGACTGATAGTGTGATAATAAGTTTGTTGAGTTGGGTCGGGTCGGGTTTGGAGAACTGGAGAAGCCCTGACTCGTATCTTGGTGGGGCAAATTCAGATGGCATGATTTGTAACTGGATTTTTCATATTTGGGAAGGGTAGAAATGTAGAATATCTTGCCTCATTCCATTTTCAAAGGGGCCTATTTTCCCCACATCCACTCATTCAAAGTCTAGAAGATTAATTAACTAATCAAGAGTAAAGACATGATTAGACATCAAAAATTAATAGTTTGCTTTAATTTTTCTATTCTTAATTTGTTTAGTAGCTTGAGAATGATATTGTTTAACAATATTTATTAGTCAAGTAGGATTTTCTAAGGAAAATGCTTCTTCCACTGAACTTGTTAGGGATTTGCTATTTTAATTTTAAATATTACTTATCTGTGTAGATTTTTTCTTCTTCACAAATTGTAATAAATCTGTAATAAATCTGAATTTTTGGTTGAACTCTAGTTTAATAATCACAATACACAATATTAATGTACTAATATTTTTGGACCACTTTGGGATCCTTGCAGGTTATTGATAGTTGTTGAGTGACTTGAATCAAATACCATGGCTCCTAAATATGCATCTGGAGCTCAAAAAAAGAAAAAGAGAGAAAGAGTAGAGGCATTAATTCGAAGCCAGACTAGAGATATGGAGAAGTACTTTAATAACAAGAAACAAAAAGAGAAGGAAGGAACACCAGAAAATTTATTGATTGAGGAACAACAGAATCAAAATGATAATGACAATGTGGATGAACGGAAAGAGAACGAGGAAATGATTGAACCTGCCAATGTGGATGAATCAAAGCAAAATGAGGCAGATAATATTCAACGTGAAGATTTAAATCAAGAGAATTGCTTTTCTTTGAATTTTGAAGATCCCGAAAATTGGAAGGACATCCACATTGATCAAAAGACGATGGACTTTTTAATTGAAATAGGTCCAAAAAGAGTTGATGGCATTTTGTTTCCCCAAGATAGTCAAGGTAGACATTTTGAATCGTCACACTATAAGCGGCTACTTACAAATGGGCAAATAACTGATAGAAGATGGTTAGTGTATTCCATTTCTTTAGACAAGATATTTTGTTTTTGCTGCAAGTTGTTTAAAACAGAAAGAACAATGAAAAGTATTAGTTAATTGGGTAACGAGGGATATAAAGATTGGCATAATATGCATCCTCGCCTTACAAATCATGAAGTGTCTAAGGAGCACATAGGCTGCATGACTTGTTAGATGGAACTAGAAAATAGGCTTCAAACAAAGCATACAATTGATAAAAGCATACAATTGGCCATCAACAAAGAAAGAGAGCATTGGAGACAAGTACTAACGAGGATAATTGCTATTGTTAAATGACTTGCTAAAAATACTTTGGCATTTCGCGGAGATTGTGAGCAACTTTACGTGGAGAACAATGGACTTTTTTTGCAAATGATAGAAATGGTTGCTGAATTTGATCCAATAATAAGAGAACACATTCGACGTGCTCAAGCTCGTGAGATTCAGTATACATATCTTGGTCCTAAAATTCAAAATGAATTGATACAAACTTTGGCAGGCGAGGTGAGAAGTGCAATTGTCACAAAAGTAAAACATGCAAAATATTTTTCTGTTATACTTGATTGTACTCCAGATACGAGTCATGAGGAGCAAATGTCTTTAGTAATACGATGTGTGGATGAATCAATGGACTCTTCGATGGTACAAGAATATTGGATTGAATTTTTGAAAGTGGATGATACATCAAGACTGGGACTTTTCACTGAACTTACAAATGTGTTAACGAATCTTGAGCTTGATGTTGACAATATAAGAGGTCAAGGGTATGATAATGGAGCTAACATGAGCAGGAGACATAAAGGTGTACAAAAAAGGTTACTTGAAATAAATCCTAGAGCTTTCTATACTCCAAGTGGTTGTCATAGCCTAAATCTAGCATTATGTGACATGGCAAATTGTTGTTCTAAAGCTATGTCCTTCTTTGGAGTGATACAACGCATTTATACAGTGTTCTCTTCTTCTCCCAAACGATGGAAAATTTTTAAAGATAAGGTTGAAGGTCTAACACTTAAGCCATTGTCCCAAACACGTTGGGAAAGTCATGTGGAAAGTGTCAAGTCTATAAAAGAGCAATCTGTACAAATAAGAGACGTTTTACTTGACTTGGCAAACATTGCTGAAGATCCTAAAACAAAGAGTGAAGCTAAGTCATTAGCAACATATGAACTTGAAAATTTTGAGTTCTTACTTGGTATGGTCATTTGGTATAAGTTGTTGCACGCTTTCAATACTGTGAGTAAATTTTTTCAAGCAGAAAATATTGATATTGATGAGGCCATCAAGCTTTTAGAAGCACTTATTTTGTTTCTCAAAAATTATAGAGAATCTGGATTTGCCAATGCCATGGATGAAGCTAAACAAATAGCAGTTGAAATGAGAATTGAAGCTGTTTTTCGAGAGAAACGTAATATTCGAAGGAAGATGCAGTTTGATGAAAGTGGTAGTGAAGAGGTAACACTATCAGCTGAAGAATCTTTTCGAGTTGATTATTTTCTCTTTATAATTGACCAAGCTCGATCTTCACTTCAAACTCGATTTGAATAATTTAAACATTATGAAGAGACATTTGGATTTTTGTTTAATTCGGAGAGGTTAAAGAGTATGGATGTTAACAATTTGTTGAAATCTTGTAAGAATCTTGAGTAGTATTTGAGCCATAATGGACATTCAGACATTATTGGTGATGACTTATGTACGGAGTTGTTAGTTTTGAATTGCTATTTACCTGGAGAAACAAAAAGAGCAATTGATGTGCTAAATTACTTGAAGAAAATGCATGGTTGTTTTCCGAATGCTTGCATTGCTTACAAGATTTTGCTCACTATACCGGTTACAGTTACATCAGCAGAAAGAAGTTTCTCCAAATTGAAATTGATCAAGACTTATATTCGATCAACCATATCACAGCAAAGATTGAATGAATTAGCTTTGTTGTCCATTGAAAAAGAAATGGTTGAACAACTCGACTATACAAAATTGATTGATATTTTTGCCTCAAAAACCGCAAGACGAGTTGTATTTAAGTGATCGTTTAGAACATTTTCTTATACATCTTTGTATTGCTATTTGATTATAATATAAATATTTTGAATTTCATTTTTATTTGTTGCTTTGTTATGGATTTTATGTTAAAAATTTAGTTCCTTCAAACTCTTATAAATAATATGAAAAAAAAAAATCATTGTTTGCTATGAAGTAGCGGCCCAAATTCTGAATCTTGCCTTAGGCCCCGCGAAACACAGATACGGCACTGGTAGGTGGGTTTAGCCCTAATGGTGGAATATGGGCCTGGAAGAGGATTTGGTCCTGGTGGTGGTTTGAGAGGCCGTGGTGGTAGTTTTGATGAACCTGGAGGGTTCGGCTTTGTTGGTGGATATGGCCATAGAGGCGGATTGGACCATGGATGTGGTTTAGGTGGCCTTGGTGGTGGTTTTGGCAGATATGGCCCTGGAGGCGGATTGGCTGTGGTTGTGGTTTGGGTGGCTCTGGTGGCATTTTCAGCGGCCCTGGTGGTGGATATGGAGGTGGACATGGCATTGGTGTAAAGATAAGTGGTTTTGGTGGCCCTGGTGGTGGATTTGGAAGTGGACATGTCATTGGTGGAAAGGGTGGCGGTGTTGGCAGCCCTTGTGGTGGTGGATATGGAGGTGGACATGTCATTGGTGAAAATGGGGATGGTGGCCCTAGTGGAGGTTACGGTGGCCCTGGCGGTGATGGTTTTGGTGGCAGAATTGGAAAAGGTGGTGATTATGGTGATGGAATTGGAAATCATTGATCCTAATGCTGCGTGTTATCATGACATCAAGAATAAGCTATAATGACTCATAGTAAAAGTGTGTGTCACAGTATAATTTTTACTGCGTACTAAAGATCTCTTGGCCTTTATGGCATTTTTAATTTCCGAATTGCGTATGCTATAGATCCTTTTCTATATTACACATTTATGTTGTTTTTGGACTTGGCACTAGGTTCGAATCTTAAAAGATAAATACTATAAGGGCTAAAACAATCAACAAATTCAGATTGAACTGAACAATCTCGAGCTGATTGACCGATCTACTGTACAATTTCTGATGGATTTTTGTCCATCAAAATATTTCTGGTGGTCTAAGTTTTAATTTTTATTTATAAAGAGTTCATTTTGTTATGAAGAAGATTTGGTTAAAAAAATTTATTTGACAAGCCCAGCCTGTTAACCAAATTTAAGAAGAAATACGTAGCGAAGCAGCATCCAACGAGGTGGTGCGACTGCTTTGCTATCTTTGTCGAAATTTATAGGTACAGGGACGGACCGGACTTTTTTGGTTTTGGGGTCAAAAATTAATGTGTAATTTTTAAAGCAATATAGTATTAATGAAAATAAGTTTATACGCATTTTGATGCCTTGAAAATGTTTTATAATTATATCATATCAATATTTTTAAATGAATTTTGCTACATGTAAAGTTTTGTTTACCATTTCATCTATAGATATTGAGCTAATAATGAGTAAATCAAATTGGATGTAGGAAGTAAATGAATTGAAATAAAATCCACTTTTAATTTAGGAAGTAAATGAAATTTAAGTTTAACGCAAAAGTAATTTGAAAGTAATTCAAATTACATTTAATCCATAACGATTTTAAAATCTTTACGTCAATTTCCATATACAATTTTCTAATACAATGATGTAAATTGTATTGAAGATTTTATTGTGCAAAAATAATAAATGCTAATAAAATAATTGAATTTTTTTGTAGAAAAGACGAATTAAACGCCTCTTTTAGTACGTATATTTGGTGCATATATAATTATTTTCAATATTCGTTTGAACCATTCGATATGATTACAATGTAGTTCTCGAAACGAGCTTCAAGATGATGTGGTGATTTGTAGATTCGGATAGTATATGATCATTGACAAAATTTAAAAGTTTGTATATTATCGAAATTTCAAAATACTAATTTGTAACGACCTATTTTGATGCATCGTAACTTTTACTATGGTTGATCATTTCGCATGCCATTAAGGAGCAAAAAATTAGACCATAAGCACTTTGAAATGATATTAGAAATGCGATGTTTCGACTTCATGTGACATGTATTAAAGTAGGTCGTAAATAGGTTGAAACAACTATCTTCTAATAATAATAAAAAAAAAACCAAAAATTTTGTGGATCCGCCCATGGCCGTGCGGGAGGAAACTAAAGTTAAGACTTGCTGTTGTGAAGACACAGAAGAAAGAAGAATGAGGAAGGAGAACGCGAAGTAGGAAACTCAAGTTGGGCCTTTTATTTATTTATTTTTATTATTATTATTATTATTATTTTTTTGTAAGATTCTGGACCTTTTCTTTAGTTGAGCCTTTTTTTTCTGGGGGAAATTGCACGAATACACTAAAGAGTAAGGACTTTTTGATGAATCGTTATAAAAAGAATAAATAATTATAAATCATATTATTTATTGTAAATATAGTAGTATTTATTAATAACTTTTAAATCCCTTCAGCCCTAGTCATTATGATTATTATATCCCTTGTAATCCATAATTCTTTCCTTTAAATATGAGGCTCTGATTCTTAGTAGAACATACAATTCTATTGCTTCTCTATTTTGTTCTTTCTTTTTCTCTCTAGATTATAATATGTTATCAACATGATTCTCTAAAAATTATAACATATTATTTTGAAGGTAGTCTATAGATAATCTCAAATCATATACGTTATTATTATTATTTTTTTAATTGCTGTTGACACAAATAATTAATTTTCATTGATTGATTTTTGCCCAGTTAATTTTCATTGCAGCATAGCAAATGGTTACTGCCCAGTTTTCTGTGTCCAAATTTTTGAAATCCAATCACCAAGTTGTGCATGTCCAATCATCATAGAGTAGAATAAGCAATCATAATTATGCATATCCAATACCGTAATAATTTTTTTTTGTTGCTTCTTGTTTAATTACCTCGTTATTGTTCCTTTTAATACTAGTATAATTTATGAATTTTGTATTTGTATATCCATCTCTTATAAATTATTGTTGCTCCTAAAGTATTACGCTATTATTAATGTTCTAGTTTAATTTTACTTGCTCCTGACGTTACAACAAAAATTGCCAGAAAGTGTTGCGAAGAGCCTTTTGCAGCGTTTTACTGTATGTTGCAAACCTCAATGTTGTCATAAAGTAAAGGATATGGCAATGCTTTTTTTCATGTTGTGAAAAAAAATTTTGTAGCATTTTTTCACGTTGTGAAAAACGTTTTTGCAATATTTTTTTCATGTTGCCAATAACCTTTTTACAATATCTTTTTTTCATGTTACGAATAACGTTTTTGCAACGTTTTTTTAGGCGTTATCTATGATTTTGTCCTTATTTTTTGCTACTTTTTTTATCGTTGCCGTAGGTCATTTTACATTTGTTTTTCAATTTTCATTTTATTTGTGTTGTCGGTTATTCGACTAACGCAATCAAAAGAACAAATAAAATAAGCAGAAAAAAAATAGAAAAGTAGATGAAGCGAGGTATGCCAAAGCAAATTTCCTTAAAACAGATTTCGCCCCCCAATGAAGTGCAAACGGGATTATGGACGTCTATCTCCCAAGATACAACGCTCCTTCCAAAGTCGATACTGCACAATACCAATCTTGTCGGTCGAACCAATGAAAAATCGTATTCGAACCGAATAACCACGAAAATATAAGAGATTTTTTTTTAGAGCAGAATATGGAGAAAGAAGAATTTAGAAATCAATTGAATTTGTAATTGATTTGGTGTATCAAAAACGAATCTGGAGTTCTCTATTTATAGAGATTGAAGTGTCTCATGGAATAGGTGTGTGACATTTTAGGAACTGGTGCACCACTTGGTCTGATTCGTCTTAGCCATTGGATCGCACTATTTTCATGATCTGACGGTCCAGATTGAACCATGAAGTGAAGTGTCCATTCATCATGCCTATTCACCAATTTCTGAACAGTCACAGCCATGCGGATGCCACGCGTACATCTAACCGCCACGAAGGACGAAGGGACGCGACCTACCACGCGTGCGCCACCTAGAATGCCAACTCACTGAGCCTTGCGTTGCCATGTCATCGAACCACGAGTCCATTTCCGAAAACTATAAGACTCCCCAGCTTCTCACGACGATGCGTACGTGCGAAGTGCCAAGTGCGCCTCTAAAGAGCCCAATGCGACGTGCGTGTGCCGGGACCGGGTCCGGGGAGCGGTGCTAGTGGTGCGAAGCACCACTCTAGTGGTGACTAGCCTTTGGCTAGCTAAAATTAGCCAAGTGATAGGTAACTTATTAAATTATATATTATTCACACAACCCACTATATAAACAAGACTATTTTCTTGTAAACTTTCGATGTGGGACTCCTTTCCATATAAAAACACTTAAAATGGGCTTATCAACATATGGGCCTATATTGAAGACTTTTGCAATTCACCCAAATTAATTGTAATGGCCCATATCATTAAATGTTACATTTAATATTTTAAACCCAAAACAAATTCAATTAATTCCAACAATCCCCCACATGAATGGAAGAAGTCAACTCAAATCAAGGAAGATGGAAGAAGAGTACTATCTGAAAGATAACGCATCAAGATAGGTAGCTTTCGCTTTGAACCTTCTTTAGTAAGAATCTATCGAACTCACTTGGCTAATCAGTGAACTCAACGTTTTGAACCGTCAGCCGTTATTGCAAACTCAGACAACAGACCAAACACATTATCTCTCATATCAAACTTGGTTCTCTATTGTGTTCATTATTTCGGCCCTGAACTACTTGGGTTCTGCGAGTGCTTTAGAGAATTCGCCTAAGTAAATTCTCATAGAACCGGCCAAGTTCGCACTAACATAGGTGATGCACTATAAAGAGTACCCTACTGTAATTACTTGTACCATTTATAGTCATCATTAAAAGCAAAGCTTATCCTTAATACACTTCACAGTCAGCACTTTTGGCCTGGTTATCACAATGAATACAGATAGCCGGTACAGGCTTTGGCCATATAGGAATATCTTCTATGAAATGTCTTAACCATTCTACTTCTTCTCCTGCTTTGTCTAAAGCAATAAACTCAAATTCCATAGTAGATCGAGCTATACACGTTTGCTTAGAAGATTTCCATGATATAGCGCCACCACCAAGAGTAAATACATAACCACTGGTAGACTTTGACTCGTCTGTATCTGATATCCAATTGGCATCACTATATCCTTCAATTACTGGAGGATATTTTCCATAATGTAATGAATACTCTCTCGTCCGTTTCAAGTATCCCAAAACTCTAAGTAATGCATCCCAATGTTGATTACTTGGGTTACTTGTGTAACGACTCAGCTTACTTACCGCGTAAGCTATATCAGGTCTAGTACAATTCATCATGTACATTAAACTACCAATAATTTGGGAAATTCTAACTGCTGTTTCCCATTTCCACTATTCTTGTGAAGAACTATATGTGGAAGAAATGAGTTACTAGTCTCTTTAATATTATGAGTCTTAAATCTCTCAATTATTTTATCAACATAATGGGTTTGAGATAAGACTATTCCATTTGATGTTCTAGATATCTTTATTCCTAGAATCACGTCTGCTTCACCCATATCTTTCATGTCAAAGTTATTGGTAAGTATATTCTTTGTTCTATTGATGACTTCTATATTAGTCCCTAATATAAGCATGTCATCAACATACAAACATACGAGTATGTATGCCTTTTCGAATTTTTTCGAATATACACATTTGTCACATCCATTTATGATGTATTCATTCCTAATCATGACGC